GAGAAGGAGGATATGAGGAGAAGGAGGATAACGAGGAGAAGGAGGAGGGGGAGGAGGTGGAGGGGGAGGATGGGCAAGGGGGACCTTCGAGGTTCGAGGCTTCTTGGCTGCCAGGGAGGGGGAGGGGGGTCCCCATAGAGCCTCGGGGAGGCTCCCCGCCGCCACGGCTGGGCTCCCCCCTCCTCGAGAAGAGTCTGTGGCCGGAGCGCGCCCCCGGGGGCAGGTCCAGGAGCTGGCCTGCGATCTTCGGGAGGGAAAGAAACACACACACAGACACAACTAATCGGCGATTCGCCAGGAAATGTAGGAACATATGGGGAGCGTAGGGGGAAGGCAAAAGCCCAGAACATGTGGGAGAAGATGGGGAATCCTTTTGATTATTTGTGTGTATTGATTTGTGTGTCCCAGGGCCCCTTCAGATTTTTGAGAGCCGAGGACCTGATCGCTTCCATGGGCCGAGCGGCAGCTCACGAGCGGCGAACACATCCGTATTCGCGTCCTCGCGGTCCGGATTCCGGGGCGCGAGCCCGCGGAGACGCGGTCGCGCAGGGACGTTCCGCGCGGGGCCTCCGCGACAACGCGCCCCGTCTCCGCGGTGTCGCGGACCAGGCCTGGCATCGCTCGGGCGTGTGCATTTTTCTTTCGGCGAGGACCATCGGGGAGCATCCTTGATCATTTGGCGAAACAACCACGCACGAAACCGGACGAAAAAAACACAGGGGATGGACGTCCGAGCGATGGCCAGCAGGGGGCCCTGCCCGCGAGGCCGTGGACATGGACACGTTGTTTTTCGCCCCGGAGAAGTAGCGCAGGTGCTGGAGACAGCACCTGCTGCACATTCCTTTCTGACTGTTCGGCATCGGGTAGGCGGGGCTCTTGCGCGGCCCGCAGTGCCCGGACGTCGGGGCGGCGCTCCAGGAGCTCTTCGTGGGTGTCAAGGCGCCCCGCCGAGCGACCAATTCAGACAGTCCAGCGTCTTGAGAACGTCGGGGCGGCGCTTTGCCTGCCGCTCTCGGCCCTCAGAGCCTCCCAGGCCCCGCGGCGGTCCAGAAAAACGCTGCTCAGGATGGTGAAGCGGGCCCGGGGACCCCGCACTTCACCACCCACCAAACCACCCCAACCCAACCCGAAGGCCTCAATTTGCCATCCATTTCCAGTGGGGGGGGGGTCGAGGAACGTTGAAAAAACACATGGAACCCGTACCCCCCCAACCCGAAGTTCAGGACAAATCCGGGTCTTCGGGTTGGGTTGGGGTGGTCTGGTAGGTAGTCAGCACTGCAAAAGACAGGGCGTCGGGCGTCCCGGAGAGCTTGGCACCTTTGGGGTGGCGTGGTGCGGACGCTGCCCCGGCAGACGGGCCCGCCGGGCCCACTCGCCGCGCCGCGCGCTTGGCACACCTCGGAGGCGGGGCCAGGCGGGCTGCAGGGGCACGAGCAGGGAGGGGCCCCTCCGCTCCCTTGGCATCGCTCGGACGTGTGCATTCTTCCTTCGGCGAGGGCCATCGAGGAGCATCCTTGACCATCTGGCGAAAAAACCACGCACGAAACCGAAAAAGGCACAGGGAATGGACGTCCGAGCGATGGCGAGTCCGCTCCCCCATTCCCCTCCCGCCCCTCCTCCTGCTCGGCTGCTGTCGTTCTCGTCCTCCTCGTGTCGCCGTCCGCCGCCTCTTCTCCTCATTTCGTCGTCGTCCTTTCGTCGTCCTTTCTCGTCGTCCTTTCTCGTCGTCCTTTCTCGTTAGTTCGTCATCCTCTCTCGTCGTCTTTTTTTCGTCGTCCTTATTTCGTCGTCCTTTATTCGTCGTTCTTATTTCGTTGTCCTTATTTCGTCCGCACGGCCGCTGCGCGTGGAACGCTCCGTGCGCGCGCTGCACACGCTGCGCGCGCTGCGCGGTTGCCCTGCTTGGGGCGTGGCCCTCTCTCCTTTCCTCCCACTCTCTCTCTCTCTCTTTCTCTCTCTCGCTCTCTCCCTCTCTCTGCCTCTCCCTCTTCCTCTCTCTCTCTCTCTCCCTCTTTCTCTCTCTCTCTCTCTCCCTCTCTCTCTCTCTCCCTCTTTCTCTCTCTCTCTCTCTCTTGCTCTCTCTTGCTCTCTATCTCTCTCTCTCTATCACTCTCGCTCTCTGTCTATCTGTTTTTTAAAGTTTCTCTCTCTCGCTCTTTCTTCTTTGTTCTCTCTCGCTGTCTCTCTCTCTCTCTCTCTCTCTCTCTCTCTCCTCGTCAAGAAGCCCGATCACCCGATTCAGCGATTGCGCTCCCAGCCGAGGGCAGTTCCCAATAAGCACCGTACTGAGAACCCCCTTGCTTTCTGGGCGGTGTCTCAAAATCGCGGGTTCCCCAATGCTGGGTGTTCGCTCATGAGCCCCCTGTTGAACGCAACCGCCCAGCTTTCGCGCCAAAGACCACCAAAGGCCGCTAAAGACCGCACAAAGACCGCCGAAGACCGTCAGAATACCGTCTAGCTACGCCCGGGACCGAGGGGCGAAAGGGGGGGACCATGGTCGCACACGCAGACCAGCGTGGCGCGCAGTGATGTGGTCCCTTTGCTTCCCCCCTCCCACACGCGCCTGCCTCATGCTGCACCGCCTGCCTCGCCTTCGCGGTCCCTCGCTCTCCGGCCCGTTTCCGTGTCCCTCGTCTGGCCCGCTCTTCGCTGTCGGCCCGCCCCGGTGGTCCGAACGAGAGCTGCGGCGGCCCGCACTGCCACGCTGGCGGCCCTCGCCGGTCGTGGCACGCCACGTCGTGCCAGAGGCACGGTGGCGGGTCCCTCCCTAGAGACTTCCCCCCCCTTCCCCTTCCTGCAGCCGCATGGGTCACGTGGGGGGGGGGGCGGGCGCCTGTCCGGCCCTCCAACCCGGCCCCCCTCCCTCCGGCGCCTTCACGCGGGGCCGAGGGGCGACCTCGAGGGACCTCGGTCTCGCCCGTCGGAGTGGGGCGATGTCGTGTCGTCGGACACCGTCTGCCCACAGAGGTCGGCAGCGCAGGGCCCGGGGCGAACACACTGGGCACCTCTTCGCATCGAGCTCTGCACAGGTGGCGGTCTTCTTGGCCGTGCAGTTTCGACATGTTTCGATTCACTCGTCCCGGCCTGGGCCGCAGGAAGGAGGTCGCTGATCGGGGCACCCAGTCCTTTTTGGGGAAATTGTATGGCCTTCGGCCCATCCCGTCAACGTGCCTGGGCTGCGGTTCAGAGGCCTTTCGGATGCATACGAGGGTCTCTTGGGATGCCTGTCGGGGGACTCTTGGAGAGGTCTTGGGGGCTTCTAATTGGGCGCCTCTTGGGGGCCCTCATGGGGGCGTCTTGGAGGCATCCTGGGGCCTCTCGGGGAGTGTGGGGGGGGTCTCGGGAGCCTCTCGGGTGCTCTTGGGGCCATCTTGGGGCGAAAGGCTTGTGTTCCGCCTGTATGTGTATCTAGTGGCCTTCGGCCCATCCCGGCACCGTGCCTGGGTTTGGATCGGAGTTCTCAGGGATGCGTCGTCGCGTCTCTTCGGAGCGCTCTCGGGGGCTTTGGGGAGCAGTTTGTATTCGTCTTGGGAGCCTTTTGGTGTCATCTTGGGTGGCTCTTAGGGCCTCTTGGGAGCCTTTCGGGGGCCTCTCCGGGGCCTCTTGGGGACCTCCTGGCCCTTGGGGCCGAGGGTTCGAAATGTCCGTTCGGGTTCCCCATCTGGATCCCCTGTTGGGGCTGTTTCTTGACCCTCTTGGGCCGTCTTGGGCGCCTCTGAGGCCGTCTTGGGGCCCTCTTGGGCCGTCTTGGGGCCCTCTTGGGGGCCTCTGGGGCCGTCGTGGGTCGGTCTGCGGGGCCTCGTGAGCCGTCTTGGAGCGTTGGGAGGCCAAAAGGCGCGAGCGCTGCAATCCTTCAAACGCAAAGGGAAATCAATGATGTTTGCCTATTGGCGCCCTCGTGGGTGTGCTGTTGGAGGCCTCTGGGGCCGTCTTGCAGGTGTCTGAAGCCGTCTCGGGGCGTCGGGCAACGTATTTGAGTTGCGTGTTCGGCAAGTCGGGGCCCTCTTGGACCATTGTGGGCGGGCACAGCGTCCAGAGAACTTGCAGGAGCCGCCCCAGAACTCACGGGAGGCAGCCCGGGAAACCCCGGGACGCCCCGGGACGGCCCTGGAAGCGGCTGGTGCGGGCCCTTGAAGACTTACATCTCTGGCTTCGGCAGCAGCACAGCCTCTACTTCTCAGTGTTGCATGAGCCCTGGGGCACTCCACTTCATGCCAGAGGCACGGTGGCGGACATATGCACATGTCTGTACATCCGTACATGTACACCATACATCTTCATACTACAGTTACACACGATACGTGTATGCATGTAGGTATGTATGCCTGTCTGTCTGTCTGTCTGTATGTATGTTTGTATGCATGTATGTATGTCTGTATGTATGTATGTATGTATGTATGTATGTATGTACGTATGCATGTATGTATATACATATGTGTGTATATATATATACATGCATATATGTGTATAGGCTCATGTTTCAGAGTATCGAAGTCTGGCACGCGAGGGACACTTCGGTTTGACGCTCTGGCCAGGTCTGCCCCTCCCCGCACGTCCCTCTGCCCACCCCCGCCCTCCCGCCCTCTGCTTCCTGCTCCCTGCGCGCATGGTGACGTCCTGACCTTGTTCTACAAGCCCAGGCTCTACGCGCAGAAACGGGTGTTGCAGGTTGGTCTCGTCGTCGCTCTGGGGCTGCTTTGAGCCTGCCGTGCTTGTCAGGGGTTCGCTGGTGTTGCGGTCACCGACCGAAGAAGAACACGCACGAACACCCGCGGCAGACCTCCTGGTGGGTCGCGCATCGCCAGTGCCACTCCTGACTGCGCCCGCTCCCCGTCCATGGCCCACCACCCTTCCTTCCAGAACTGCTGGGGCCACGGCATCGTTTCGACTCGATGCCGCAACCAGAAAAGCAGCATGCCCTTCCCTCCAGGTGCCCCCCCCTCTCTATTTGACATGTCATACTTGAGGAAGGAGGACCACCTCAATCCGAGCACAGCGGTTCAGAGAAAGGTATGCCCACCGTCCTCTTTTGCTGAAAGCGTGGTCGTCCCTGGAGTGGACGCGCTGCCTTCACGGGGGCCCGAGCGCCGCTCCTGGGCAGTTCACCATGGTGGCTCGGCCTGTGCTCGCGGGGGGCGTTCGTGGGGGGGGGGGGGAGCGCCCGCCCATCTGAGCGCCTGGCAGCGGCGTGCAGTTCTGGGCAACCCCCCAATGGCGGAACCAGGTGCAAGGGGGTGGCGGCAGCACGCTATCTAGAACTGGCACATCTGACAGGCCCGTGCGAGAAAAGGATTGCGCCCTTCTGCCGTTCGTGGCAGCGTGTGCCTGCAAGCAGTCTCGGGGCCCGTAGAGAAATGAGGCAGAGCACACAGGCGTCTGGGAAGTTGTTCGAAGACCTCGGCGGTTCTTGGGACGCATGCGGACGACGCATTGCAACTGTACTGCAGACGGGCCAGTGTATTGCAATTGTATTGCGCCCGAGACTTGTCTTGTACTGTAGAGTGGCAAATGTATTGCACGCAAGCAGCGAGCAATACATTTGAATCCCTGGACATACTGCACGGCCCAAACCTACTGCAGCCCCATCCAAGAACATTGCTGAGGGGTTGCGTTGCTCTGCTGCGCTGGCCGAGTGCGGCGTGGCCGTCCAGATCCGACCTGATCGCCGACAGTGCCTGCGAGCAGGGGACGTGGGGTGCCTAAGCGCGTTTCCGGATTCCGATGGGTGAATCGGAAACCCGCTCGCAACGAATTGGCGGGCCTTAGTACTTCGAATTCGCACGAAGCTTCCAGACCCCGGCAGACAAAGCTCGTGGTGCGAGTTCTTTGTGAGAGCCACATCGTGCGAACGCGTCGTTGTATCGAATCAGGTCCACACCCCGAAAGCACCACTTGTTTTACCTTGACCCCCTCTGGGTCTGCCTAAAGCAATACAAGGCATCGTTTCCCCTGTCGCGTTGTCATTAAAGCGCTTCCGCATCCGACCTGACACCAGGGTGGGAAAGCGGCACTGCAAGCCGCCGACTGCCGACTTGAGAATTACATGGCACATCGGGCGGTCATTTGACGTGTTGCGCAAGATCAAGATCGCTTATTGATGACATGCTCGTTCCCAGAGATCCCATGTTCGTTTGTGCATTGCGGCGCCACTAGGAGTCTCGACGGTTTTCCTGGGGCTGGCTTTCCATCACCAGCATTTGTTTGACGGTCCAGGGGGCCCGTGAAGGTCCCCAGAGACCGAAAACGGTGATGGACCGTCCGTCACGTTCCCTAACATCCGACGTCATTGCGAAGCACAGTATTTAAAATTAGTCAAACAAATGATATAGGGACTATTTTCTAGTTTTTTTGCCATTCTGGAGCATTTTTTGAATATGTCTTATTTTCCGTCCAAAATTCCCTGTAGGGGACACGCCCGACTTAAGACTAGATGTAAGAGTGATCCTTCGCCGGAGTGACCTTTGGTGCGGGCACAATGGGGTTCCCCGATCGCCGAAACCGATGCGCGGGTAGCGTCTTGCGCGCCTGTGTTTGGTCACCCCGCGGCCCCCCAAAGAGCCGCGCACCAAAGGTCACTCTTACCCAGGGTCACTCTTGCGTGTAGCCGACATGGGTTCGACGCGACCAGCGGCGCGATGAGACAGACAAGGTCACCCGAAGATGCAGCATAACGTTGCGCGGGTCACAAGGTCTCGCACGCGCAGGTCTGGACCCCCAGAGGCCCATTCCCCAGGCCCGATGTTTCATCCCGTCGTGTTTTGACGGCCCAGGGGCCTGGAGAGGGCCCCCAGAGGCAGAACAAATACAGACATCCCAGTGCCGTTGTTGATATTTTTCCCACGGCGCAAGGCGGTCTGCTGGGCGGGGCTAAGACAGGCATAATCGTTCCAGAGCTTTCCAGAAAACTCTCAGACCATTCTGGAGCGCTTGAACGGCCGCACCTGGACTACGGTTTAAGAGAACGCGTGAAGTGACGTCCATGCTCTTAGCTCAGAACTTTCTGAACTCCTTGCAGCGGTGTCGTCTGGGCCCGTGGCCTCCATGCCGGCGTCCTCGATGCATCGCCGACGTCGACGACGACGCAGTGCGCTTGCGCAGCTCCGATGCATCGGCGATGTGGCGCGATCCTTCGACCCCGTCTGCTCGGACCTCATCTGGGAGGCCTCCACACAGTCGAAACCGATGGCAGTTGAGGACGGGCAGCCTTCCCCAAAAGGTGCCCCGGCATCCCTGCATCCTCCGGCCCATCCTGCACCACTCTCGACGGCCAGCCCCTCCCGAAGAGCCTCGGCATGGGCGTTCAGAGGGCCTTGGTATCCTCCTCGCGCATCCTTGCAGTCAACCCGCATAGCAAGTGCGGCCAACCCTCCTGAAGGTACCCTTGCATCCTGGCCGCTTCGGTCCCTCCCGAGCCACTCTCGCTGCGGCCGCGCCCCGCCCGAAGCGCTCCGAAGCGGCCCTCCGGGGCACCGGCACCCTCATCGAGCCTCCTTCCGATGCGGACCGCGGCCTTCCCCGCCGCGGCCTTCCTCGCCGCTAGGCTGGGCCCGCGGCCCCCGAGCAGGGGGCTCCGCCGCCGCGGCCGCCCCGCCCCCCTGGCCCCGCCCCCGGCAGGCGAGGCTCCAGGGCATCGGCGCCTCGCTCCCGCAGGGCCAGGGCGCGCCCCCCCCGCGCCCCTGCCCGCGCCCCCCCCCCCGGCCCCCCGACCTGGCGGAGGGGGCCCCGCGCCGGGGGCCCGAGACGTTCTCCGGGCGTGGGGGCCCAGTGCCAAGGGTCTTCGTAGATCAAGCAGTGGCGAAGCGTCCTGGCTCGCCTGTAGCCCTGCCAAACAATGTTCTAAGAACCTCTTGTGGTATCCACGACATGTTCGTAGGACATTTCTGGCTGGGACTGTTTTGCTTTAACACATCGGGTTAGTGTTCTAAGAACATTGTTTTTGCTCTTAGAATATTTTTGGGTTCTAAGAACATTTCGTGGTAGGACTCTAGGAATGCCGGGACGGTCGGTCCCTGCTCAAGTAGAGGGCGACTCGGACCTCCAGGGTCGCAAGACCTTGCGTTGACGGACCTCCCGAGGTCACCACGCGATCCATCACGCCCCAGAGAGTGGATCGAGGTTCGTGGATGGGCGCTTGGGCCTCGTGAGGGGCGCTCTGGAGGCCAGCGGGTCCTCACTGGAAAAGCTGGGGCCACCTTGGACCATGGCCATCTCCGGCAACTCCCGATGGATGGACATGGCATGCACCTTGCTGCTGAGTGTGGTTGCTACAGCCGCCGAGCCACTACTCCGCGATTCACAGTGGCACATCCGACGACGGGTCCGCGGGACAGGTCGGCTCTGCCGACGCACGGCAACCTCACAGAGTGCCACACGAGCCCAGCCTGTGCGACCAGGCCAGGACGCGCCGGAACTCCCAGGGTGCGGCCTGGTCTCACAGCCTTGGCTGAGGCACTCCCCGCAGGCCGGGGGGGGAGTTCAGGAAGGCGCGGGCAAGCTTAGGAGAGGAGGTCGGATAGCAAGGAGACATGCGTAAACATAACTGTCGCAGGCCCACGTGGATGTCTTCGATCGGCGCTGGGCCCCCCTCCCTGGCGCGGGGGAGCGGCGCCCGAGCTGCCGCCAGGGCGACCCAGCGCCGATCCAAGAAGTCAGCGTGGATCTCTGAGAAACGATGCTCATGCCATGTCCTGGTCTTCGAGAACAGCCGTGCAGGAAGGGCGCGCTCAAACTGCGCAGCAACCCGGTCGAACATCCCGGAAACCCGCGCGGAGGTCTGGACGTTTCTGTGTTCCGCGCTCGTGATCCGTTTCGGAGGCCGAGGCGGAGGCCGAGGGCGGCGCGGGGGCAGAGGCCGAGGGAGGGGGGGGGACGACAGCAGCGAAGGGGGCCGCCGCCCTCGGGGGGCCGGCCCGCAGCTGGCCAGGTGTCGACGGCATCCTCGTGGAGGAGGATCGGGCGCCGGACCCGGGCGCGAGTCTTGGGGCCCCGCTCGGGCGGGTGGTGAGGGGGCCCAGGCCCCCTCGCGATGTGAGCAAAAGCGCGACGGTAGGTTTCTGGCTGGTTTTGGCCCCTGGGGGCCCCTGCTGGGCCCGGGGAGCGTCAGCAAACACGACTCGGGATGCCAAGCCGGTCGACGTCGTGGGAGAATCACGACGTCGGGGGTCCGGGGGGAAGGGCCCCCTCCCCCCCCCGGGCTGAAGAAAAGGCCCCCTCCCCCCAGGGACCCTTTGGTATCGGCCCCTGGGCACCCGCCCGAGGGACCCCGCTCTGCCTTGCCTCGTTCGGCTACTCGTAGGAGTGTCCTTTGGTGCGGGCCTATTGGGCCCCCCCCCAATCGCCGAGTGCGATGCGATAGCAGCGGCCATCGCGCTTGGGTTTTGCGCCCTGGCGCCCCCCAAAATCCGCGCATCAAGGGTCACGTTTACCTCTTGCCTAGGGCCTAGGGCCACTCTTACGCGCAGCCGATTCGTCCTCTCGAAGCAAAACAAGAAGGAGCTCCGCGTAGATTTCTTGGATCGGGCGCTGGATCACCTGGCGGCGCCTCGGGCGCCACCCCTGGCGCGCTCCGCGCGCCAGGGAGGGGGGTCCAGCGCCGATCCAAGAAATCCTCGCGGAGCTCCGACAGTTTATGTTGATGCAATGTTTTCAACCTCGATCCTTCTCCGCATCTCCTTGTTTCTCCTCCTCTTCCTCATCACCATGTTCACTTTACCAGTGTTTCTCTGACTTGTCGTGTTCATCTTCCTTCTCCTATTCCTCCTTTTCCGTAACAGTTGTGTCTCAAGGTAAATGTATTGTTTGCGTATGGCATGGCATGGGGTCCAGAATTGAGGCGTCAAGAGCAAACATACAACATGTGGTTTGCTTCGGAGACCTATCTGGTCAATCTGGCATCGTTAGCTCTTCAGGGTGGCCTCAGACGGACCAGTATCGCCCAAAGAAGCCCTGCAACCTTAGGTCAAATAGTGAGGGCCCAGGAAGGCTGCAAGAGGGGCCCGGGAGAGTCCCAAAGCGGCGCAATAGGGCGTCAGGAGGACGCCAATGCGCTTCGAGAGGTTACCCCAAGTGCTTCCAAGACGTTCCAAGGCAACCCAGGAGGGCCCAACAGGCCCCGACGTGCTTCCGAAGCCACTTTGTCTCAAGCCATTTTGGCCCAAGACCGTTCTCGGCTCAGGGCCGAGCGCCGCACTCGACGAGCCTCCGTGCGCCCTCCTCCCACCCAGGGTGCCCCGGAGCCGTCCCTCAGCCTGAGTCGGCGCACCCCCGACACGGATGGCCGACAAGGTGCAGCTATCCCGCACCGACAAGCCCGCGCGGAAGTTCATCGAGAACCCCATCACGTGGTGGAAGGGTGCTTCATACGGGTGGAACGCCGACGTCACCATCTGGAACGGGACCGGCGAGGCGGAGGCGCTCTGCGAGCTCTTCTTCGACAACCTCGCGACGCTGCTTGGCGTGACCGGGTCGGCCGTGGGCCACATCGGGTATGGCATCATTGCGAACAGTGGCCTGAACGGGGTTCCTGGGTACGGCCTGGCGGTCGCGCAGGCGTGGGAGAAGATCTACTTCAACCGGGCCATTCCAGGTTGTGCTTTTGCCCTGCTCTTCGGGAACCTCTTCTACGCGTACCAGTGCGGGCGCCTCGGCTCGAAGGAGGGGCGCAACGACGTCACCGCCCAGCCCTACGGCATGAACACCACTGGCATCTACATCACGCTCTACGCCATCCAGCTCGAGGCCCTCTTCACGGGCGGGTTCAAGTACATGGACCAAGCCGCAGGCGGGGACGTCGAGGGCGCCGCGCTCGAAGCCGCCGAGTACGCGTGGAAGGTCGGGGTCGCCGCGAACTTCATCATGGGCCTCTTCGAGATGCTGGGCGGTGTCCTCGGCGAGGCGATCCGGAAGGTGACTCCCACTGCAGCCTTCTACTCGCCGCTGCTGGGCGTCGGCTTCGTGTGGCTCGCCTTCTCCCCGATGCTGAAGATCGCCTCGGAGCCGATGATGTGTCTGATTCCCATCCTGATTGTCATGGTGGGCTTCTTCGGCGGCGTGAGATTCACCATTTACAAGAAGCTGTCACTGCCCATCGCGCTGACAGCCATCATCTACGCCACGGTCGCAGGCTGCAAGGGCTCCCTCGAGGGCGCGAAGTTATTCGCGCTTCGCGCTTCGCGGTCCTCGTTCCTTCTCCCCCTCCTCCTCGTCCTCCTATTCTCCCTTTGGGAGGGCGGCGCGAGAGCGCGAAGTTATTCGCGCTTCGCGCTTCGCGCAGCGCGAAGCGCGAAGTTGGGAGCCCTAGAGGCTGGGCGGGGGCTTGCAAGCGGAAGGTCGGCAGTGAGGGCGCCATGGCGTTCGGCTACGGCCTCCCGTTCGGCTCGGACTCCAACTACGAGTACGTGACCTGCCAGGGCACCTCCACGACTGGTGCCGAGGATGCCTACGAGCAGTTTGCGTGGAGTTCGGACATCCTGAAAGACTCGATCTTTGTGGGCCTCGGCGGGCTGGGCGACATCGGCGACTACGTCTCGACCATTTTCCTTGTGGCCGCGGTCGGGTTCACTGGCACAATGGCATGCGTCGAGAGTGCCTCTGCGGCGGGCGACGACTATCCCATGACCGAGACCATGATCGCCGATGGCTTCGGCACCGCTTTAGGCGCCCTCTTCGGAAGCATCTACTCGACCACGGTCTACATCGGGCACCCCATTCACAAGGCCCTCGGTGCGAAGCGCGGGTACAGCCTCTTCAACGGTCTGATCTACTTCGCTCTCCTCCTCTCGGGGCTCTTCGCCTCGCTGTACAATGTGATCCCCGAGTGCGCGAACGGGGCCATCCTTCTCTTCGTCGGGCTGCTGCTCGGCCGGCAGGCGTTCGAGGAGTCGCCATCGAGGCACTACCCCGCCCTGCTCCTGTCCATCTTCCCCTACATCTGCAACTGGGCCAAGCTGTCGATGCCCGATGAGGGCGTCCAGATGATGGGCCAGGCAGGGGGCACGCTTTTCAGCTTTGTCCTTGCGTGGATGTTCTGCCTGTGCATCGACCGCAAGTTTCTCGATGCCACGCTCCTCTCGTTTCTCGCCATCTGGCTCTCGCTGTTCGGTTTCTTCGCGAGCCACAACATGGCGAACGACGAGGTACCTCCCACGGAGGGCAACGAGAAGATCGGCTTCTACGGCAAGGAGGACCACGACTACAACAACGGATGGCGGTGGGCCGTGAGCTGGTCCCTCGCCTGCGTATTCTTTGGGCTCCACGCCCTCTTGCAAAAGTTCGGCCTGGTCGAGAAGCCGGACGGGGCCGACGGAGAGAAGGAGGACGAGGCGCCGGCGATCAACAACGGAGAGGGCAAAGGAGAAGCGCTTTGAGGAGCCTGCTGCCGGAAAGAGCAGTGAGACAACGGCAGCGTGCAAAAACCCAGAGCACCCACGACGCATCAGCGTTCGGGGCTGCCCATCTGTCTGACGGCTGGCGCGTCGGGTGCGCGTCGGGCGGATGTACATAATTACCTTACAGGCCGGTGGAACCAGTCTTCAAAAGTTTTTGCTTGCTCGGCCCCTGTGCGTGCCCGATGCGGCGCTCGTTGTAACGTGTCCACGCCTCAGCGTGTGCATTTGACGGTATTTGACGGTGGCGGATCACATGGATGGCAGCTTCGGGGCTAGAGGCTCCTGGCGCCATACATTGGGGCGTGTTAAATTGACGCCGGTGACGCTTTCTTCTGGCTCGAGCGTTGCACGCATTCTCAAACAGCTCTGTCTCCGGTGGTTGTGGTTGTCATATGTATGTCTGTTTACGACTTGATGTAATATACACACATCACTGTTCCATACACCCATATCTCCACCTCCATGCCTGCTCTGCTCAAGCAACCTGCGCAGACTGACTGGCTGGCATGGTTTGCTTTGGGCCAAATGTTCTAACGCCCTCTCTGCGCATTGCTGCCCAATTGGCGTGAGTTTTGCGCGTCGACGGGCGATCTGTTACAGGAAGAATTTAATCTGCGTCCGCGCGACTGGAAGGACAAAAAAAACAGGCCCCGACGTGCTCCAACATAACCCCAATACGACGCCAACTGGCCCCAATTCGACCAACATGGCACCGAGAGAATTTACAGGCAGTCCAGAAGGGCCCAACCGCGGTTCAGAAAGCTTCATCATTGCCCAACTGGTATCATGAGGGCTGTTAAGTAGTGAGACGTCTGCGGCAGCGCTCCCCGCTGTGTTCAAAATCTGTTTTACCAGGGGTCGTCGCCCTTACACCCCCGATCGAATGCATTTTGCCGATGATTGTGGCCTCGGGAGTGCGGACCGATTGCATTCCACGCGGAATCGCGGGGTCGTGGCCGTGAGAGCGCGGGTGAATTCTCCGAGGGGTCGTGGTTCCGATGCCGAGAATGTCTTGTATGTTGTCACACGTCCCAGGGCAACGAGAGGCTGATACTGCATGGCTGGGGCACGCCAGCGCCTCGCCACGTGCCCAAGGGCGGGGATCGCGTGCACCCCCAGGAGCAGAATCGGGAGGGAAAAGAACACACAGAGACACAATGAATCCTCGATTCCCAAGAAAATATGGGAAAAGATGGGAAGTGGGGGGGAAGACGAAAAACCCAGAAAGTATGGGAACATATCGGGAATCTTTTTATTTGTGTGCATCTATTTGTGTGTCCTTGGGCCCCTTCAGCAACATCGCCGAGGAGCTCAAAATGCCTGAGACTTCTCCGAGGTCCTCAGGAGCGCGGCAGCGCCGGCTCTTGGCGAGCTGCCAGGCTGCTCGGTGTGGCGCTGCACGCAGCCAGCGGCCGCGACTGGGCCGCGTCGCTGAGTTTTTCCGAGCCTTCAGCCGAGCAGCCACGTGCCCCTGCAAGGGGCGATGGCCAGCAGACCATCCAGCATTGATATGTTCATGCGATCTTCTCCTTCTCCTTCGCCTTGGCTTTCGGGCCCCTTCCTGCTGTGCCCGCCCGTCCCCCCCTTCGGGCACCGGAGTCGCTCCCACCACCTCCCGAGGGTGCGTCCCGATTGATTCCTACTACAGTCGGGGCCCTGAAGAAGGAACCCTTTTCGTTGGGGAGGGGCTCCGTGTTCCTTGATTGCTTCACAGTGTGCCTTGGGTTTTCCTTGTGTTTTCGATGGGAAATCGAAGTTTCATTTATGGAAAATAGGGGCCTCGTTCCTTATTTAGGGTTCCTTAGGTCAGCGCCCCGGCTGTACTCCAGTCCGCGGTGATCGCTCTCACCGTATTCCCTCCAGGGTTGTCGCCGTCGCCCAAACACCCAGAGATCCGATGCATCTACGTGCTCAGTACGGTGTCCCCAGAAGTCCGGGCCCTCTTCCTGGGTGTGGACGTTTCGTTACGCGTCCTTCTTTCGACTACCCCGAGGCCCGGCGAGGGGCCAGGGAACCGAAAAACTGCGAAGCTCTTCCGTCCTGCTGTTTTCACTACGGCAGGTTCGCGCCGTGTTGACGCGGCAGCGACACCAGCTCGGGCGTTCAAGCTGGAACGCCGCCAGACCGGCCGGTGTCGAGCGATCTGCGCTGTCGGGAAACCGAGGCCGCCCCAGGTTGAACGACCCACAGGGTGTTAGAGACCAACGCCGATATCATCGCCGCAAGAACCTGCCGTACAGTCGGGCCGCTGAAGAATGAACCCTCGTCGCTGGGGAGAGGCTCAGTGCTCCTCAATTGTGTTTTTGCGGTTTGTCTTAGGTTTCCCTCAGGTCTTCGATGGTCTTCGATCGGACATCGAAGTTTTAACTACTGGAGACAAGGGGGCCTCGTTCCTTGTTTAGGGCTCCTTCTGATATCGATTCGACCGTACGCTGGTCATCGACTCTACGAACAACCCGAAGATTGTTCGGTTGATCTACCAGCGTTCATCGCAGTTCTCCGCAGACTCGGCGAGACAAAATGAGTTTTGGGGCGAATCGGACCTGGAGTCGATCCCCTAGCCGAGGTCTGGGAAGGCGTTTCTGCCGTCGTCTTGGGCATGGCTTCATGGGGGGGTCACAAATGGGGGGGTCAGAAAAAGGTCCCCTTTCGGGCCCCTCCAGCGCCCCAGGGGGCTCGTTTAGGTACCGTTTGGGTACCTTTTCGAACCACCCTGGCCACCCCCCCATGTATGACCCCCCCATTACGCGGCGCCCGATCGTCCTCTGCGCCAGGACGTCCAGGGGGAGGCGCAGGCGAGGTACGCCTCGTTCGGAGTGCCGATCTACTACTTCCAGGCCCTGGAGAAGGTCGCGCGCCCGCGCGGCGCAGGGAGCACGCGCGGGGCGGCGGCGAAAATCACGAGGGTACGGTCGGCCCTGATTGGCAGGTCGGCCCTGCTAAATCAAGGGTGCCCTTGTGCTAAGTCGGGCCTGACACTCTACAGGGGGAATATTCAACAATTGGTCAAAAAAATAGTCTGGGGACTATTGTTTGAGTACTTTTGGGCATCTTTTCAGTATATATATATATATATATATATATATATTGTTTTTCGTCCAAAACCCTCCTGTAGGGGGACACGCCCGACTTACCAGTAGGTCGACCCTGCCAAATCAAGGGTGCCCTTATGTCTTGTGCCTCGCGACCCATACAGGCCTCGGAACAAATTAGCGAGCACTCATGCCACATTCATCCGTCAACGCTTCCCCCTCCCCCCAATGTTCAAAGTTGGCGGTGGGTCTGACGAGATGCACTCACTTCGACCGCAGTCTCCCCCGCGCGTGCCAACGTTGAGTTTGGGGGGTGGGGGAGTGTTCAGTAATTGTTTCCCTCTACCGTATCTCCTGCATTCCCATGGCAGTGTGGCCCTCGGAAGGGTCGTGTGTCCTCTCGCGTGCCATGTCCAATCAGGTCCGACTGCAGGCGCCGGTCGTTGACAGCAGGTCTTGCCGGATATCTCGTGCCCAATCTACCTCATGGAGGATGACGATTCATAAATGACCGGAGGTCGTGTTCACGCGGCGGCGCCCGGGATGACGATTAGGAAAAAACGGCAGCGGGCTGGAAAACTATTTCTTTTAATCGTTCTCCTCCCGTCAGAAATTTGTGCAGAAATAGCAGAAAACTATTTGTTTAATCGTTCTCTCCCATTTTTCTTATTAATCGCCATCCCGCATTACTGCAAGCGTCTTCTTACTTGAAGACTCGATGCGTTTGTTGTGGTCTTCTGGAAATGTTTGGGCGGGCCCGAACCCAGTCTGCTTCGTCCCCCTTCCGACTGCATGATTCCACCAGCCACGCGCAGCGGAGGGCAGGGGGAGGGGGGGAAGGCTTCTTGGAAGTACCCCCGCTTCTCAGCAGGCGCGGGGCTTCCCTGCGGATGTAGGGCCGGCGCCATTTGAGGTGCAGCCTCCTTCCAAGAAGCCTTCCCCCCTCCCCCTGCCCGCCTGTGCGCGCCGCCAGGTCCGCGGCGTCCGACTCGGCGGGTAGGCGTGCGGAGCAGGACGGCGAACTCGTCGAGGGGGGTGCGAGCAGGGGGAGGGCCCAGACCCCCTCCGCGTCGTGGGGGCGTGCCGGCGGGGGGCTCCACGCCAGCTTCGGCCTCCGGGAGTTCTCACGGTCAGAGTTGATGAGTCTGTCGACCCTGCCAAGTCCAGGGTGACCTCGTGTCTTGCCCCAGAAGACCCGTGCCTTCTGCACTCCTGTGGCCAGGTGGCCCTCGGAAGTGTCCTGCGTCCTCGCGCGTTCCCTCTCCAATCGAGTCCAACTGCACCGGACACGGGAACCCTTGAAAAACGGTCAGGGTGAAAAGCCAGACCCCAGGAATGTCTCAGGACCTCCGAGGGCCCGTGCGGAAAAAAACGCAGCGTCAGAGATGTTGGGGGAAGGAGGAGGAGGAGGAGGAGGAGGAGGAGGAGGAGGAGGAGGAGGAATTGGAGGAGAAGGGGGAGGAGGACCAGTGTAAACCCAAGACTCATCAACGCTGTTGAAAGAAACCCTCCCTCCAAGTTCTCTCTCCATAGGCCCTTGCAGGAGTTCATTTCCACTGAGGGAGCTGCTTTGTTGGGAGACAACCGTTTGAAGACCCTGAAGCGTGCCAAGCACGAATCAACATGACTGTTGCGTCTTGACGATCCGGAATCGTGTGAGGACAAAAGTCCCAGGACTTCAACGCCGCGAATCAATGCAACAGTTGCGCCCTCACAGTCCTGAGTCCGTCCAAGGAGTTCTTTCTGGCACACTGACCATGGGAAGCCGTGCAAAGCTTGCAGATACTCAAGGCGGGTGTGCGCGGCATTGGAGTGAGAGCCACTAATTACAAGCGGAGCCGCCTACAGTCCGTGAAGCTCTTCTGATGTTTGAGGCGAGTGTGCGCGGCGCTATGGCGAGAGCCACATTTTGAAAGCGAGCCGCCCTCGATCCGTCGGCGCTCAGGCGAGGGCCACATTTTGAAAACGACCTGTCCTCAATCCGCGAACCTCCTGCAACTGTTTGAACCGCATGTGCGCGGCGGGAAGGCGAGAACCACGGTTTGAAAACGACTCGCCCTCAATCCGTGAAACCCTTGGAAAGTTTTCAAGCGAATGTGCGCGGCGCTAAGTCGAGAGCCACATTTTGAAAACCACCCGCCATCCATTCGCGAAACTGTCGCCATGTTGAAGCTTTAGGGTCATAAACGTGAGGACGTATCAGGCGAAACGCCCAGCCCGACCTTTCGTCTGGCCTCGCGGTGCGATAGGGATGTGTTATTCATAAGACAAAGGAATGGAGCAGGAGCAGGAGGAGGAGGAGGAGGAAGACAAGGAGGAGGAGGAGGAGGAGGAGGAGGAGGAGGAGGAGGAGGGGGGGGAGGAGGAGGGGGAGGAGGAGGACTGGGAGGAGGATCAGGTTAAGGAGGATAGAGGACGGTGACTTGCAGTTCGTTGCATCCTCTTGGTGAGAGCCGCGGCCCGCCTCGCGCGGGGGCGAGTAACGGAATGCGCACGACGCCAGATTTTCAAAAATAATGAAAAGGACAAGCGATAACACGGAGGAGAAGAGGGAGGAGGATGATGAGGAGGAGGAGGAGGAGGAGGAGTGGCAGGATGAGAAAGAGGTGGGAGGCAGGAGGGACATGAGAAGCACGAGGCATCGCTGGATTCTATGTCGTACAGGCGTGTGTTCGGGCTTCCGGTGTCACACTCCATGTACTGGTGCTGCGTGTCCGGCTGCTCAGACGACGCGAACGCTTCCTCGGTGCCTGCCGGCATCCCTCATCGCCGCCCCACCACACCTTGTGTGGAACTCCTCGGCAGACGGTGGCCCTCGCTCATGATGGCTTCCCCTCTTGACCAGGTCCATGGGAGAGGCCAGTCCCCTGCTGCTCCTAAAGTTTGTGATACTGAGGGTACGCAGGTTGTTTCGAAGTGCTTCTAGGGAGGACTCGAGCCTCGAAGCTCGCAGTGGAAGGTCCCGCTTGTGACAGTCAAGGGAGGACAAATGCCACCCTGTTCCCCTATCACGGGCGTTTTCTACACGATCCTTGACGCTTACTACGCAATATTGGGGTGCGTTTCTCAGGCTTCGCTTCCAGGGGTGCTTATGATGACCGTGGCTCTTCTGCCCCCTAGGTCGCGTGCTCGGGGACAGTGGGCACGGAATCCTTTACATCAAGCGGGGCGCAGAGGGTGCTTTATGTCGGCCGCTTTCCCGGAGCGGCTCTCGGAAACGCGCCGCCAGCCCTACAATCTGTCCGTGCACTGTCCTTGCGCACTGCTTCTTGCACGACGCATGCTGATTTAGGAGTTCACGGGCTGTCTGAAATTGCGCCCCAAATCGTTTCCCTTGACACCGCTTACGGGGAGTTGCCAGACGAGCCAGGCGAACCGCACACGCCCCAAACTGGTTTCTCTTTGGAGATCCTTGCGTAATCGCCCTCCTTTCAAGGAGGCCCCGGAGGGACCACTATCCAGTTGCCTGCGGCAGAGCCGTCACCGTGCCAGAACAGCTTTGTGCGTGGCGACCCTTCGATCACCGCCCAGACGGCCGTCACATGTGGTTATGCCGTCTTGGCTTCTTGGGCTGCCCTGCGCGTAGCTTGGGCGCATGTGGGACCGTCTTGCGGGCTCGCTTGGGGACGGGCCGTCTTGGGGCCTGGTTATCTCATTTGGGGGACTTCGGGTGGACCTCTCGGTGGCTGCTTTGGGGCCACGAGCGCCAGGGGCCGCCAGCACGCGCCGCCAGGAGCAGGGCCTCCAGCTCCGCCCAGCGAGGTCCGCGTGGACCTCCGAGAGCCTATGCTTGTGCAGTCTCGTGCTCCTTCAGCTTCGACCCCCCTTCCGCTCTCACACCCCCCTCCCTCGCACATGCCTCGCCCTCCCTTGAGAGCCGACGCTGTAGAGGCGATGCGGCATCGCGACACATCAGAACCGGAGCCCCAGACCTTGTGTTTCTTTGGGCGTTGCGTAATGGGGGGGTCACAAATGGGGGGGTCAGAAAAGGTCCCCTTTCGTGCCCCTTTCGGGCCCCTCCAGAGCCCCAGGGGGCTCGTTTAGGTACCGTTTGGGTACCTTTTCGGGCCACACTCGCCGCCCCCCCATTTATGACCCCCCCATTACGCAACGCCCAATTTCTGCCGCATGTGTCGGGCCGGACTGACCTGCGAGGCCCCTGGGGCTCCGAGGCCAGGGCGTGGACAGACTGCACCACCGCGCTTCGCGGGCGAGCTTCCCGCGTGTAAGGTCGCGCGGGGGCGTCCTCTGCCCCACACGGCGTGCCGCGCTGGCGGCCCGCGTGGGTCGCGGCGTAGGCGTGGGGGCCCGTTTCTCCTCGTCGCTCACGTGCCTCCCGAGCCGTTTTCTGACGGTCCCGGGGCCCGTGGAGGGCCCCGACAGCCCCAGGACGAGTCGTTCCTCCCGAGCCGTTTTCTGAGAGTCCCGGGGCCCGTGGAGGGCCCCGAGAGCCCGAAGACGGCGAAACACCTCAGGACCCGTTTCCCCCAGGGCCCTTTTCGTCGGTAGCAGATCATGGGAGCCTGGTCTACCCTCTGAATTTTGTCTTTGGCGTCGATTGGCGTCTGGGAGTGGATGAGATAGCGCCGATGTAGCGTCGGCTAGCGTTCGACTCAGCGTCGATTCGCGTAGACTTGGCGTCGGCGAGCGTCGCTACGCAAGAGCCGACACGATGGCATGGGAGGCGCCCCACGAGTTGCCGCCGAACCCTGCCCCCCCCCCAGCGATCGTCCCCTCCCTCCGCTCCGCCGACCCTCGCGGTCGAGCCCCGCCGAGGCCGTCGAGCCCCCCGTCGCGCCGGACGGCAGCCGCATCATCGGCCTCGCCCGCGCCGCCCTCGACGGGGGCGTGGTAGCGGGCGTCTCGGTCATGGCCTCGGCGCCCCTTCAGACGGGCCCCATGCGGGAGGTGAAGGACCCCCCGCCCTCCAGGCGCCGGCTGGCGAGCAGCCTCCAGCCCACCTGTGGCCACAGTGAGAGGAGGAGGAGGAGGAGGAGGAGGAGGAGGAGGAGGAGGAGGAGGAGGAGGAGGAGGAGGGGAGGAGGAGGAGGAGGAGGATAGGAATAGGCTGAGGAGGAGGAGGCGGAGGAGGAGGAGGAGGAGGAGCAGCAGGAGGAGGAGGAGGGGGAGGGGGAGGGGGAGGAGGAGGAGGAGGAGGGAGGAGGAGGAGGAGGAGAGGAGGAGGAGGAGGAGGAGGAGGAGGAGGAGGAGGAGGAGGAGAGGAGGAGGAGGAGGAGGGAGGAGGCGGAGGAGGAGGAGGGGGAGGAGGAGGAGGAGAAGGAGGAGGAGGAGGAGGGAGGGGGAGGGGAGGAGGAGGAGGAGGAGGAGGAGGAGGAGGAGGAGGAGGAGGAGGAGGAGGAGGCGGAGGAGGGGGAAGGAGGAGGAGGGGAGGAGGAGGCGGAGGAGGAGGAGGAGGAGGAGGAAGAAGAAGAATATAATAATAATAGAAGCAGAAAGCAAAAGCATAAGCAGAAGAAGAAGAGGAGGAGGAGGAGGAGGAGGAGAGCTTGATTTGCCGCGGGGCTCGAGGCGAGGGGGGGGGGGGGCGGCCGTGCGTCGAGGCGCGTGCCCAGGGCCTCGCGCCGAGGCCCTGGGCACGCGGCCAGAGGCGTGCCCCTCCCCCGCGTGCGGCCGGCCTCGGCGCGAGGCCCTGGGCACGCGCCTCGGCGCACGGCCGCCCCCCCCCCCCCCCCCCCACGCCTCGATGTATCGAAGTTGCCCCTCGAGGCCTCGAGGTTGTCCCTCGACGCACGGCCGCCCCCCCCACGCCTCGAGGCCGGCCTCGGCGCGAGGCCCTGGGCACACGCCTCGAGGCCTCGAGGTCGTCCCTCTGAAGGGCCCCGCCCTCCACTGCTGGTGGTCGGTGCGGCAGCGCCGATGGGGCGTGGATCAGAGCGGCGGCTGCTCTGATCACCGCTGTCATTTCGCAAGAGCCAACAGGGATGGTGTGGCAGCCTCCAGCCCAGAGTGGGAGGAGGGGGAGGAGGAGGAAGAGGAGGAGGAGGAGGAGGAGGAGGAGGAGGAGGAGCAGGAGGAGGAGGAGAAGGAGGAGAGCTTCGAGGATCACGAGGAGGAGGAGGAGGAGGAGGAGGAGGAGGAGGAGGAGGAAGAGGAGGAGGAGGAGGAGGAGGAGGAGGAGGAGAGGAGGAGGAGGAGGAGAACCAACGGGGAGTGTCCTCCACCAGAAGAGGACAAAAGGGTGCCGACGCCGCTCCCCCTGCCCCGTCTTCGCCTCGCTGGGCCTCCTGGGATGCCCTCGCCGCCACGGCCGGACTCGCTTCGAAGTTCCTGGGCAGAGCGCACCCCGGGAGAGGTCCGAGGGAGCAGCGGCATCGGCACTTCCTCATCCTCCCAGGAGGACCCGCCCTCCTCTGCCGCGAGGCCGTCCACGAGCCACGGGCGGCGAGCGTGTCCAGATCCACGCCCTCGCGGTCTGGATTCCGGGGCGCGATCTTGCGGATACGCGGTGGCGCGGATACGTTCCGCGCGGGGCATCCTCGAAAACACGCCGCATCTTTGGCTCCGACAGAAGTTTCCTTGGGAAGTCTCACAGAGACGTGTTCGCAAGTGCGCGCCATGACCGTGTGACGCCCTAGCCCCTGAATGGTATCACTGGGACCTCAGATCAGCTGCGATGACCCTGAAATGACCCCGCATCGTCTGAAGATGGCTTCAGGACGGCCCCAACGCAGCAGGAGTCCTTGAACTTATGGACCCCATCGTACGCCGATCCGATCCCAACCCAACAGGGCGGGATATGTGAACGACCTGGGATTCGGGTTTCCCTTATTTGTGATGGGTGGGATTTGACTGGACTGAATTTAATATACAATGTTAAACGGGAGCAGGCTAGGCGGGATCTTGCCCGGCCCACGCCAGAAGACTACATTGCTAGGCTTCTACGGAGGTAGGGGGTTCGGAACGGGCGTCGCTTACTTCCGCTGTATTCTGCAAGTCTTCTGCAGTCTTCCATCTCGTTCTACTTCCGTCGAGTTCCGCGGACGTCTATTATTTCCGCTGTCTTCTGCATGCCTTCCGCCGTCTTCCGCCTCGCTCTACTTCCGTCGGCTTCCGCAGGTGATCGTAGTGGCAAAAGTCCAGGGACTCTCATTGGAACGATGTATCCGCAGGGTCGCGGCCCAGGGGCCCAGCCCGCGAGGCCGCGGATACTGGTATGTTTTCCGCCCACGAGAGTACCGGTGTGACCGGGGGGGGGGCAGGTCGGGGAGAGGAGGGGGGGTAGGGGGCCAGCCACGTCACGATTCACGCTGGCGCCGTCTTGGGATGCCTAAGAGGGCGGCGGCTCCTTCTCAGACGGCGCCGGCGCGAACCGTGACGTGGCCAGGGTCGCCGACGAGCCTGGGGGGGGAGTGAGAAGTGGCGGGCCTTCTCAGAAGGCTCGGAAGTCCCCCGGCCTTCTGAGAAGGTTTTAAAGTCTTCCCCGAAGATCACCGAGCGCGTTCCACTACTCGCAAAGTGCCTACTCGCAAACGTCCGAAACATATTTGCCTGTTTCGACGAAATGTATCCAAGATCCCACGCGGCGGATCCAGGCCATTTGCGAGTAGTTACTTCGCGAGTAGTGGAGCGCGCTCGTCTAGAAGGCATACAGAACGCCCTTCAGAAGGCGCAAGGGCTTCTGAGAAGTTCCGCCGCCTTCTGAGAAAGTCGTCTCCTTCTCACTCCCCCCCCGTCGCTCGCCGCCAACAGGGGGGGGAGGGGGGCCGGGCCGGTCATGGGCGCCATCGCGAGTAACATCAGATATGCTCCACAGCCGCGAGATCGTCCAAAGTAAGGGCGACCATGTGCGTTTGGAGCCGGCTGGGGGGCTGAGGTGGCCCAGCACCGGTTCAGGCTGGAAGGGGGGGGGAGACCGAGCCCCCCTCGTCGCCAAAACTTGCAAGTTTAGATCCCAGAAGGGGTCTGAGGATCGAGGTCGAGCGAAATTGGCCTCATCCCCCCCGCTCTTGACAGAGTTCCCCCAGCTTTTCTACCTCAGACCCCCTGGCCGCCTCCAAACGCACGCCACGTGGTCTGGCACGATCCTCTTGGACCAAGCTTGGAATGTCCTCAGATCCGTCATGGGGCGGTCTGTGGCTATCTCCAGACCGCGTTCGGGGTCCTGTGCAGTCTTAGGACCTCCGTGGGGCTTTTCAAGAAGCCTCCTGGATTTTTGGAAAACCATAAGCAGGCGATCCCGATGCTGCCGAGTTGCTTCGAAGGCAGTCACGACCGCTCTGGGGTGGTTGGGCAATGATGAGTACTGTGTGCACGTGCGCGTCAACATGTGCATCCTGTAAATCTGCCTACAAATGAGACTGAGGGGCCAGTCGGTCTTGCACCCTCCCTGGGTGCGTGGTCACAGTGCGGCTCCGCGGTCTCAAGTGAATCCTCGTGCTGCCGGCCCCGCCCCGCGACCCACCCCACGACCCACCCGCGGCCCGCGACCTAGCCTGCGACCCACCCGCGACCCACCCGCGTCCCACCCGCGATACCCCCGATCAACTCGCGACCTGCCCCGCAACCCACCAGCGATCCACCCGGGACCTGACCTTCCGCTCGACTCGCCCGCCGACCTACCGACGAACCATCTGCGACCCATCCACCTTCATTTAAGGATGCCGACGCCTGTGGCGGGTTCGCTATGTCACAGAACAAAGCATTTGGCGCCTGCGGCATGCTTATTCAGAGGTGCGTTCGAGCTAGGCAAGCTGCCGACAGCCCCCTGTCCCCCTTTTTCTTATCTGCGCTTGCATGGGGCTTTGGCACATACGTCTGCGTACACATACGTGTGTGTATACGTTTACATGTGCATGCACATACATGCACATGTACGCACTATTCCTTTTCAATCATGAACCAAGTGTCTGGGGCCAGAGACACCATCTCGATTCCTCAGAAGGGGTTTCCATGCTGACGGGCCCGCGATAGTGTTGGGGAGCCGTGGGAAGCCTCAAAGAGTTTGAATGTCTCAAGTGCCTGCCAAGATTTCCCAAGGCAGCCTCAAGGGGACTTCAAGTATGTACACGAGAGCCCAAGAGACTGGTAGTTGATCTCAAGACGGCCCAACTTGCTGACACAAAGGAGCCCGAGAGGACCCCCTCACCTTAAACATTTGTCATACTGGCTTGGAGGCTGGTCTCGTTGGAGGCTGGCGGGGCTGCCATCGACTACATCCAAATCTGGTGGGCAGGTCGGAGCTGCAGAATCAAGGGTGTCCTTGTGTTCTGTCTATCACGCCTCGTCCTCTTCATGCCTGCAGCAAGGGCTGCCCCCAGAAGAGTCCTGTCCTCTCCAGGTGCCCCCTGTAACCAGTCCCGGCTGTAGCAGGCACTGTGCGTGGGCGTTTTGCGCGATCCGCTGTAGGCCGCTGCCATGAGCCCAGGAGCCGCGGCCGCACGCCACGGGTCGGCGCTCGCGCTTGCTCCTTTTGTCAGGGCTGGCCTGTGTGCTCTTCCATGTTCGCCGGTCACCTTCGTGCATCCTGAGTTGCAGTATTCCCAGACCTCTGAAGCGCTGGGCTTCTCCTACGTTTCGGCCTCAAGGAGCCGTTTCGGGGCCTCAGGATCAGCGTAGATTCATCTGGGGCGAACCATGATAGCCGTCGAGAGATCTGCAGCCGCGGCGTTCGCTGTTACAGCCCAGCGCAGATCGCGAGGCTTAGAAGCGTGCGAGAGTGATGAGGAGGGAGAGGAAGGGAAGGTGCAGGAGGAGGAGGAGGAGGAGGAGGAGGAGGAGGGGGACCAGTGCAAACCCAAGACTCGTCAACGATGTTGTAACCACCCCTCCCTCCGAGCCCCCTCTTTACAGGCCTCTGCACGGTATCATCTCCACTGTGGGAACTGCCTCGTTGGGAGACAACCGTTTGACGACCCTGAAGCATGCCCAAACACCATTCTACCGACTTCGACGCCACGGATCAACTTGACTGTTGCGCCTTGACGATCCGGACTCGTGCCAGAACGCTATTCTTGGGACATCAGCACCGCGAATCAACGCAACTGCTGCACCCTCACGATTCGGAATCCTTCCACAACACCATTTCTGGTACGTTGATCATGGGAGCCCGTGAAGCTCTTGTAATTTTTCAAACGATTGCGCATGGCGCCCAAGCGAGAGCCACATGTTGAAAACGAACCGCCCTCAATCCGTCAAGCTCTCGCAAAGTTTAGGACGTGTGTGCGCGGCGCGAAGGCGAGAGCCACATTTTGAAAACGACTCGCCCTCAATGCGTGAAGCTCTTGCAACTGTTCACATAGAATGTGCGCAGCGCTCAGGCGAGGGCCACATTTTGAAAACCGCCTGCCCTCAATCAGTGAAGCTCTCGCATGGTTTAGATAGAATGTGCGCGGCGCTGAGGCGAGAGCCACATGTTGAAATCCACCCGCCTTCCGTGTGTAAAACTGTTGCCGTAATTTAAGCGTCAGGGCCATACATGATGCGGAAGTCTCAGGCGAAACGCCTGGCCCGCCATTTCGATTGCCATCGGCGTGCGACAGGGAGGAGTTAATTGTAATGGAAAGGGTTGGGCGAGGAGGAGGAGGACGAGGACGAGGACGAGGTGGAATGCAGAAGGAGGATGAGGAGGGGGAGGGGGATGATGATGATGATGCTGATGATGATGATGATGATGGTGACGATGAGGAGGAGGAGGAGGAGGAGGAGGAGGAGGAGGAGGAGGAGGAGGAGGAGAGGGAGGTGGAGAGGGAGGAGGAGGAGGAGGAGGACCAGTGTAAACCCAAGAGTCATCAACGATGTTGGAATTAACCCTTCATCCAAGCTTCCTCTTCACATGCCCCTACACATATTCACTTCCACTGAGGGAACTGCCTCGTTGGAAGACAACCGTTTGAAGATCCTGAAGCATGCCAAAAAATGGTTCTTGGGATCAACCTGACTGCTGCGTCCTGACGGTCCCGAACTGTGCCATAACGCCATGCTTGGGAGTTCAATACCACGAATCAGCAATTTCTACACCCGCATAATCATGAGTCCTTCCAAAACACCATTTCTGGTACGTTGATCATGGGAATTCGTGAGGCCCTTGCAAATTTTGAAGAGGAATGCGCGCGACGCTAAGGCGAGAGCCACATATTGAAAACGACGGCCCTCAACCGTGAAGCTCTTGCAACTGTTCAGAACGAATGTGCGCGGCGCTAAGGCGAGAGCCACATGTTGAAAACGACTCGCCCTCAATGCGTGAAGCTCTTGCAACTGTTCAGAACGAATGTGCGCGGCGCTAAGGCGAGAGCCACATGTTGAAAACGACTCGCCCTCAATGCGTGAAGCTCTTGCACATCTTGACAACGAATGTGCGCGGCGCGAAGGCGAGAGCCACATGTTGAAAACGACTCGCCCTCAATGCGTGAAGCTCTTGCAACTGTTCACATAGAATGTGCGCAGCGTTCATGCGAGGGCCACATTTTGAAAACCGCCTGCCCTCAATCAGTGAAGCTCTCGCATGGTTTAGATAGAATGTGCGCGGCGCTGAGGCGAGAGCCACATGTTGAAATCCACCCGCCTTCCGTGTGTAAAACTGTTGCCGTAATTTAAGCGTCAGGGCCATACATGATGCGGAAGTCTCAGGCGATGCGCCTGGCCCGCCATTTCGATTGCCATCGGCGTGCGACAGGGAGGAGTTAATTGTAATGGAAAGGGTTGGGCGAGGAGGAGGAGGACGAGGACGAGGACGAGGTGGAATGCAGAAGGAGGATGAGGAGGGGGAGGGGGATGATGATGATGATGATGAGGAGGAGGAGGAGGAGGCGGAGGAGGAGAGGGAGGTGGAGAGGGAAGAGGAGGAGGAGGAGGACCAGTGTAAACCCAAGAGTCATCAACTATGTTGGGATACACCCTTCCTCCAAGCTTCCTTCTTCACATGCCCCTACACAGGTTCATTTCCACCGAGGGAACTGCCTCGTTGGAAGACAACCGTTTGAAGATCCTGAAGCATGCCAAAACATGGTTCTTGGGATCAACCTGACTGCTGCGTCCTGACGTTCCCGAGACGTGCCATAACGCCATGCTTGGGAGTTCAATACCACGAATCAGCAATTTCTACACCCGCATAATCATGAGTCCTTCCAAAACACCATTTCTGGTACGTTGATCATGGGAATTCGTGAGGCCCTTGCAAATTTTGAAGAGGAATGCGCGCGACGCTAAGGCGAGAGCCACATTTTGAAAACGACGGGCCCTCAACCCGTGAAGCTCTTGCAACTGTTCAGAACGAATGTGCGCGGGGCTAAGGCGAGAGCCACATGTTGAAAACGACTCGCCCTCAATGCGTGAAGCTCTTGCACATCTTGACAACGAATGTGCGCGGGGCTGAGGCGAGAGTCACATTTTGGAAACAACCCGCCCTCAATCCGTGAAGCTCTTGCAGCTGTTGAGAAGGAATGCGCGCGGCGCTAAGGCGAGAGCCACATTTAGAACACGACTCGCCCTCAATGCGTGAAGCTCTTGCACATCTTGACAACGAATGTGCGCGGGGCTAAGGCGAGAGCCACATTTTGAAAACGGCCCGCCCTCAATTTGTGAAGCTCTCACAATTTTTTGGAAACGAATGTGCGCGGCGCTAGGGCGAGAGCCACATGTTGAAAACGGCCCGCCCTCCATCTGTGAAGCTGTTGTCACTTTTTGAGCTTCAGAGTCATAAGTGGTGAGGAATTCTCAGGCGAAACGCCCGGGCCGCCTTAAAAACTGGCCTCGGGGTGCGACAGGGAGAAGTTATCAATAAGGAGAACGAATGGAGGTGGAGAGGGAGGAGGAGGAGGAGGAGGAGGAGGAGGAGGAGGAGGAGGAGGAGGAGGAGGAGGAGGAGGAGGAGGAGGATAAGGAGGACTTCGAGGATCAGGAGGAGGGAGGAGGGAGGAGGGAGGAGGAGGAGGAGGAGGCGGAGGAGGAGGAGGAGGAGGAGCAGGAGCAGGAGGAGGAGGAGGAGAAGGAGGAGGAGGACAGAAGGACAAGGAGGAAAGGAGGAGTTGGAGGAGGAGGCCACCTCGCAAGGACATCTGGAGGCCCGCGGCCTTTGAGGCACAGCCTCCCGCGGATGGCGAGATGCCGCTGGGCAAGTCGATGCCCAAGGCCGCCGAGCCTCTCTCTCCGTGGCGGTGGCACTTGGCTGTCTCAGGGGCGGCGCGGGAGGGCCCGTGGGCATATATTTTTTCTCGGCGAGAGCCCTATGGATCGAAGAAGGAAGAGGTGCCGATACCGACACCCTTTGCAGCCTTTCTGCCTCTTTGGGGGCCTCCTGGGAGGCCCTCGTCGCCACCGCTGGATTCGCATCGACAGTCTGGTCAAAACGCACCCCGGGAGCGGTCCGGGGAGCAGCGGTATCGGTACCTATTGGGTTTCTCCCGTCGAGGAGCAGTTCGGATCATCTTGCAAGAAGGCATACGCACGGAATCGGCAAGTGCACGGGGACTGGACGTCCAAGCGATGGCGAGGGGGGAGCGGCTCAGGGGTGTGTGGGGGGGGCTGAGCTGTGTCAGGGGCAGCGTCAGGGGGAGATGGGCTCATGGGGTCTGGGATTCGAGGGGTCTGGGGTTCGAGGGTTGAGTGTTGAGGTTTTCTGGCGTTTTCGTGGGTTCTCAGCGGTTTTCCAGCCTCGGGCCGCCCTCCGGCAGCTGGATCGTCGCGAACGGCCGCCGGGGGCCCGAGGGTTGGGCCGAAAACCATGAGGTGCAACGCTAGGGGGGCCCAGGGGGGAATGCATCGATCCCCAAGCGTCCACTGATCGCCGACGGCGGCCCGACAGCCCCACCCCGCCCAGGAGCGTGCGGATTCGCCATCGAGGAGCACCGTAAGCAAACACGTCAATTATTCGACGCGTGTATCTCCAGGGAGGTTTGGACGAGTTCCCTGTGGCCAGATTTCATTCCTGAGTCGTTTTTGACGGCGCCGAGGCCCGTTGAGGCCCCCTGGGGCCTGGTGCCAAAAACAGCCCAACACCAGCCGCTCCAACTCTTGACACTTCGCAAATCCCCACCAGCCCATCCAAATCCGACGCCCAGAAGGCTGGTGGGGTAAGAAGGAGGGGTGAACCCCTCCCCGAAGGGGAACAAGGGGTTGGAAGAGGAGCCTCCCTGGACCACCCACGCCCAGAGGGCTGGTGGGATTTTTCTGGGCCTCGGACCTGTTGGGATCTGGCGTCGCAGGCGGGATCTGGCTATTTGGCCGGCGCCCGAGAGCTGGCGCGACGGAGCCTGAAAGCCGCTGCTCTCCCAGGCCATGGTTCTCTCGGTGGGCCGCGCGATACGGCGCAGAGGAAGCTGGAAGCTCCGATGCCGACCATCAATCGAAGGAGGAGGAGAAGTCGAAAAATAAACAAAGACCGTAAGCATAAACTGTTGGGGCTCCGCGCGGGTTTCTTGGATACGCGTCGGGCCCCCCCCCGGCGGCGCCTCCTTCGCAGCCCCTGGCGCGCTCCGCGCGCCAGGGAGAGGGGTCCAGCGCAGGTGCAAGATATCCGCGCGGTGCGCCAAAAGTTTTTGTGTTTATGCCGTGCTTCGTTTTATGCATCCTTTTCTCATTCCTACTATTGTTATTAGTATTATGATTATCATTAGCATTATTATTACTATTATGAATATTATTATTGTTATTCATAATATTATTATTCGTTGTTATTATTATTATTCGTCTTATTATTATTATTCTCTTTCTTCTTCTTCTTCTTCTTCTTCTTATTATTATTATACTACTTCTTCTTTTCAGAAGCCGCAAACTCATACGGTCGGGAACTTTGGCTTAGCGTGTCGCTCCGCCGGTTCTGGCCCACCGCGCCCAGGAACGACACGCCATCAACGTCGCTGCCCCCAGGCATCAGCGTCCCGAGCTGTCTTAGCCTCTCGCCCCGCGGAGCGGAGCGACACGCGATCCGCCTGCAAGGCACAGCGTGTCCCCGGGGCCGCCGCCGCGAAGTGCTGAGCAAAAGTTCGACCGCAAATGTTCAGAGTGCCGTTCGGTTTTTTTGAAGCTGCGCTGGGCCCCTCTGGCGCCGTTTCTCATGCGCTCGCGCTTGGGTTGGGGGATCCAGCGCCGATCCAATCAATCCGCGGGGACCTCCAGAATGTTATGCTTACGATCTTTCTCCTGCTTCCATCGAAGCACGGCTGTTGTGCGCAGAGACCTCTCGGATTCACAGCGATTTTGCTTACCGAGCAGGTGTGGCACTTGGTTCGCCAGAGGCCGGAGATCCTCTAAGCATGCCGTCGTCCTGGCCAGGGGTCCGTACTCATGGAGCCCAGCCGTGGCTGGCAAGAGGCGCCCTGGAGGCCCCAGACGGGGCGAAGGGCACCCGGAAATGCCCGTGGGCGAGCGTCGAAGCTGGAAGCTTGGAGCTCGGAGCTCGTCTCCCTCTGCCTGGCATCGCTCGGACGTGTGCAGTTTTCCCTCGGCGAGGACCATCGAGGAGCATCCTTGATCATTTGGCGAAAAAGCCACGCACGAAACCGAACAAAAACACAGGGAATGGACGTCCGAGCGATGGCCAGTTGGAGCTCGTCTCCACCTGGCGGCGCGCACAAGGAGGTAGCGCGAGAGGGGGGGCACTTAGTGGGCCCCGGAAACGGCAGGGCCGTTTTTTTTCGGCGGCGGAAAAGAGGGGGGTGATGACTAGGGGGGGTGGACATCATGGCGGGGGCCATGATATTTCCCCAGATGTCATAGCGCCTCTTCTTATTTCATTACGTCCCTGGCCCCCCCGCTGGGCCGCGCACATGCCGCCGGTCATGATTTGCACCCCCCCCCCTCTTGGACACCCCCTTCTTTACCGCTCCCGATTTTTCGCCGTTTCCGAAAAAGTGTCCCTTGAAAATGGTAACGGCAAAACAACGGCGACCGGAAACGGCAACAAAAACGGCTCCAGGATTGGAACCGGAGCGGGAACCCTTAAAAGAACGGCGACGGAACCGGTAAAAAGACGGCGTCGGAGCCGGCAAAAAACGGCAAAAACGGCCCTGTCGTTTCCAGGGCCCACTAAAGGGGGGGCAGTCTTTCAACAAGGCGGGGGGGGCCTGCGGAGAAGCCTCTCGGGGGCCCGTGTGAGAATGCTCCTACCTTCGCCGGCGGACCCGCCGCCGTCTGCCTTCCGCTGACCTCGCGTCGGCGGCACCTCACAGGAGACCTCCTTGCCAGAGCGGCGTTTTGTGCGCAGCGTCAGCAGGGTGGGGGGGGGAGGAGGGAGGAGGAGGAGGAGGAAGGAGGAATCAGGAGAAGGAGGAGGAGGAGGAGGAGGAAGGAGGAATCAGGAGAAGGAGGAGGAGGAGGAGGAGGAAGGAGGGAGGATTGGGAGGGGAGGAGGAGGAGGAGGAGGAGGAGGAGGAGGAGGAGGAGGAGGAAGGAGGAGAGTGGAGGAGGAGGGAAGAGGAGGAGGAGGAGGAGGAGGAGGAGGAGGAGGAGGAGGAGGAGGAGGAGGAGGAGGAGGAGGAGGAGGAAGGAGGAATTGGAAGGAGGTGGAGGAGGAGGTGGAGGAGGAGGAGGAGGACGCGGGGGTGCTGGGGGGGGGGCAACCCAAGGACACACAGGCCGCTACCGTCACGCCGCACGCAAGGATCGGCCAGCCGCGCACCAAGGGGCCCCTCCTGTCAGGAGGGGAATTTCACACAGACGCAACGAGTCGCCGATTCCCAAGAAAGTATGCGAACGTACGGTAGGTTTGCGTCGTGTCGACCAGCGGCGACCCCAGCGCGGGCGTTCAAGGTTGAACGCCGCCGGCGGCCCAGAATCGATCGATGTTGAACGATCGGACGTTGCGGCAGCGGCCGATCGTTCAAGGTTGAATGATCCCTGCGGTGTCAAAAACCAACGCTGGGGTCGGCACGACACGAACCTGCCGTATGCGAAGTGGGGGGGAAGACGAAAACCCAGAGCGTGTAAGAACATATGGGGCATCCGAGGGTCAGTGTCTATTTCTTCGTGTGTCCCTGGGCCCCTATCTCTTGCCTAGTGTCGACCTTGCGTGGTAGGTGCTTCCGCCGGCTTCCGCCTAAGGCGAGACGCGCCTCTGCCTTCCCGCTCGGTGGCCTCGGACCCCCTCCTCCAGGATGCGAATGGGCAGCCATTGTCTCCCGATGAGTTTGTTGAACGGAGTGAGAGCTGCAACCTAGTGGTCGACGGCTCGGCTACCCAGTATTCGATTCTTGAGCTCAACCGTGCTTCTTTCGCGGGAGTCTATTTGGAACCAGGGGACGTTTACCAGGTTCGGACCCGCTTCATGGCCACCGTGTGGCCAGTGTTGCACCAGACGCCCCAGGCGGCTGAACATTTGGGCCTGGCCACTGCTTGTGCGTTTAGTTCGGGCATGACTTCCCCTTTCAGTGATTGCAAAGGGGCCGTGCGGTTGCATAACCTCTCGGACGAGGCGCAGCTTTGCCCGCGTGAAATGTTTGCTGGCTTTCGACGTGCCGCGCAGCAGTCACCTGGTTTTGATGCCCTGGGGGAGGCCCAGCATACGCCCGCCCATAGGTCGGATGCTATTATACAGGCCCTTCCCCCAGACCAGAAGCGAATAGCTTTAGCCAACCAGGATGCTGACCGCCTGGCTAAGTATGCCCTCTCGCTTCATCCTCAGCCTGCATCTGCTGATCTGGAGATGCTAGATAGGCAGGTGCAGGCCCTTCGAGCATGCGCGCCAATGTTCGGGAAGGTGCTCTCTCTTTTTCCTAAGGTGCACTTTGAGAGACCCCCGAAAGAGAAGAGGTTGCCTAGAGTCCCTCACCCGCCTGACTGGCATAAGTGGGACGAGCTCAGTGGCGATCGACCTGCTTTCAGGTGCAATAGATGTTTCAGGATTTCGTTTGAGGGCGAGTCCCGCCCGATGAATGGTCGCGGAGGTTTGTCCACAGCACTGAGACGCCTCCAGGGTGCTGAGACCGAGCGGCAACATAAGCTGGGTTTTGCCATCCTGCACAAGACCCAGAGGCCGCTGTTTTTCTGTTTTGCCCGCGGTGCTTACACCAGCAGGCGATGTCACTTGCTAGGTCAGACCTGCGTCAAGAAGCTGAGCACTGCTGGTGAACAGGTGCTCACACGACTGCAGGCTGGCCTCCACCCTCATTACAGAAAGAACACTGAGGGTGATGACTCGCTGGCGTCTGCTAGAGCGCCGTCGAAGTCGGTGCTTCTTGCCCCTCCTGGCCCTCTCGCTGCGGGGTCGTCTCGCTTGGTCGACTCCGACCGCTTGCGAGCGTTCGCAGCCCGCATCCAGGCCAAGGAGGAGGCATCCAGGCGCTAGCTGCTGCCTGAAGCTGACGTTCTGCCGCAAGGTCGTCCCGTCCTCCTCCTCCTCCTCCTCCTCCTTCTGACCCTCACTCCCCTCCCCCTCCGCCCTCTTCCCCCCTTGTCCCCCCCCTGCTCCTCATCCCCCTGCTCCCCCACCGCTGCTGCCTCGGTATCGCGCGGGCTGGTCTTCTGCGGGCGAGGGGGGGGGGGGCGCGCCGAGTCGCCCCTCGGGCACTAGAAGGGGCGCCGAGGGGAAGGGGCCCCTGGAGCTTGTTGCTTTTGGTCCTCTGGCGTAACGGTCGCTACCAGAGCCGGATGCCACCTCTCAGGAGCGGAAGAGGGACGCAGACGCACAAGAGTCCACGCTTGTTTCGAACGTGCGCATCGCGCGAGCGTTCTTCTGACGAGGCTGGTCTCGCGGACTGGGGGGCCGTATTCATGTGCGTGGTTTGGCGCGTACATTTTTCGTGGGTTCCCCACCCTCACCCCCCCAGGGTGGCGGCAATGATCGTACGCGGGGGGGCAAGCTGATGCTCGCGATCGCGTACCATGACGATCGCAGCGCACTCCCGCCACGACTTGCCCCACCCGCCCAAGCGTCACTGCTTCTGGGTCCCACCTTCTCCCCGCCAGCCCACGGTAACAACCGCTAGCGCATCCTGATAAATAATTAGAACAAGGTCCTGGAGGTTTTTCGCCGTTTCCGCCGGGGCGGCCGACAAGCGCTTCAGGATAAAGTATCCAGGACCCGTTCCCCTCACGCCACATTAAGCTTGTGTGTGTAGTTCGAGGTGCACTCCCCAGGAGAAGCTTTGACAGGAACAGGGATGGTTTTGTAGAGCGCCCCCAGCACCGCCCTAGGAGCCCCTGCAGAGATGTTTTATTTTTGGCCACGGGGATGCGCCACAAACCAGGCGACGCCCATCGCGTGCGGTGTGAGTTTGCACAGAAGGGCGCGAGCGCAAGCTGTTTGCAATTGGAAAGGTCACGGGTCATGGGTAGGATTACGCAGCTGCGCTGCGCATTGGACTTGTATACCTTGTGCCCTCATCCACTGGGTGCATTGCAATGTTCAATTGAGTCTCTGTGGTTCACTGGCCCGGGAGGAAGCGAGGCATTGTAAGGTTCATGCGTGTAGCTCGCATCGGGGCAAGCCTCTGACGCAGCGGTGGCATCAGGGACGCAGTGGTGGTCGCAGTAGTGGGAGTAGCAGATGCAATCGTACTAAGAGGGGACCTGCCACGCTGCTAATGCGGTTTCCCCTCATGGCTGGAGGACCCACAGCTGTGGGCCGCAGCTCTGATGCGGCGGGCTAGAGCAAGAGACGCAGGCAGCCCAATATCGGGCGGCCCGTCATACCAGTTGAAGAGCGACATGACGTAAGCTCGTGTCCTGCCAGCTGTTGTGTTGTTATGATATGTGTGCCGCCTGTTGTGCCTGAGCTCGGGAGGAGAGAAATATGGGCATGCCTTCCTGCTCGCAGAGTTCCTCTCAAATTGTCACCCCTGTCCCTATGATCGCCCACGGAGGGCGTTTGTGTTGATTGTGTGCTCCCTCTCTCTCTCTCTCTTTGTCCCTCTCTCTCCGTCTTCGTGTCGCTATGTCTCTCCCTGCCTCCCTCTCTGCCTCTCTCTCTCTCTCGCCATCTATCGCCCGCCCTCTGCCTTGTTAGTCCTCCCATGTTTTCTTTTTCTTTATTATATATATATATATATATATATGTATCTATATGTTTTGTTTCTCTCTCTCTCTCTATCTCTTTGTGTCTCTCTATTAACTCTTGTGGGCGAGTTCTTGATCGTGTAGAGATAAGGGCCATTACTTGTACATTGATTGATCGACTCTATCTTCCCTCATATGTATGTACGCATGCATGCATGCATGTATGTATGTACGTGTGTATGTACACTCCCAGAGGGTATGTGTGTATGTATGTCTGTATGGATGTATGTTTGTTTGTATGTATGCATATATGTATTACACATGTGCATGCGCATGCTCCCCCGTTGGACACCAGTGTGTGTGCGTGTCGGTGTGAACATAGGCTTAGGTGTGCCCCAGACCCCTGAGGGCAAGTCGCAAGCGCACGCACATGACCTGGAACAGCAGGGAGAAGCTGTCTCATATATCTTTCCATGGACAGACTCCCACGCTCGCCACCCTCACAGTCGCCTGTCGTCCAGCAGGCCCGATCCTGGCAAGAGCTGGGGCGCCCCGACTCCGCCCAGGGCCCGAGAGCCGAGAGGAGGGGGTCGAGCCCCCGCTCGGAGGCGGCCCGGGGCCCGGCCCGCGCGCCAACCAGCGCGGGCGCGCCGCAATCTCTCGGGGGCGGCGAGGAGGGAGGCGAGGCTAAAGCAGGGCTAGGATCGGGATAAATCGCTCCAGAGCGTTCCGGAGCGCTCGCAGAGCGTTCCGGAACGCTCTGGAGCGGCCGCGGCGCCCAATACATCCTCCAAACCCGCCGCTTCTCAGAGATTTCGAGTTATCCCGATCCGATTTTGTCCCGATCTTCGCGTCGTTTTAGAGGCCCGGGGGGAGGCTTCGTGGCCTGGGCGGTGACGTCTTCCTCATGGTGGTGGCCCCCCGCGAAAGTGGCGACCCGTGGAAGAGGCCGGGGCTCGCCGCCGACCGGGGGGCCCTCAGAACCCGTCCTGGAGGGCCTTCGCGGGGAAGGCCTGCACGAGGGTCTTGGCAGGCTCCGCCTTCTTCGCCTGGCCCTCCCTCCTCTTGGTGCCGATGCGCCCCCTGGCGCCCCTCCCCCCACCTCGTGCGCGCACAGCCCCCCTCGGGCCGTGGTGCCCTGAGCCCCATCTGAGGTCCCTCGAGGGGGGCGCGAAGATGTACGCCGCGCTTCGCGCATCGCGGCTTGGGCTGTCGTGGCAGGATTCGGATGTCGCCACATGAGTCTGGCAAACGGTGCCGCGCACCTTCGTGTCCGACTGCTCCGCATCGGTACCGCTGCGCCCCCTGTCCAGAAGCGAGCCAGGAGGGCACGCGGCGCCGCCGTCGCCCGCATGGCTGGCGAGAATCGTTCTGTTCGATGTGCTCTCGCCTGTCCTGCCCCCCTTCGAAAGCAAAAAATGCCACATTAGCCAGCGTGGACACCGAACAGTGTGTGGCCAGCAATATGTAATGCAATCTATGACGACCCCATCTATGTGGTGCACCCAATGTTGTGCAATCTACGTTGTGCAGTATATGTTGCGCAACCTGTCCTCTGCAGTCAAAGTGGTGTGATCGATGAGGGGCAACCTATGTTGTGCAATCTGCGATGAACCACCCACGTGGTGCAATCTAGGTTGAGTAATCTAACTTGTGCAATATATATATATATATATATATATATATATATATATATATATCGAAGGTTGGGGGTGATATCGCAGTGGAACGGAGGCCCCCAACCGGTAAATCGTTTCGTTTCGTTCGTGACGTGCGTGCGGGTGAGGCGATGCTGCGTGGGCGCGCGAGAGAAATGAACCCGCCGTTGCTAGGGCGAAGTCAAGACAAATGATTCTCCCCCTTCCTCCCGCCCGTCCGGCGGTGGCTCGCGGTGTCCCAAGGTGTCCCGTGGTGTCCCGTGGTGTCCGCCGTTGCTAGTGCGAAGTCAAGACAAATGATTCTCCCCTCCCTCCCGCCCGTCCGTCGGTGGCTCGCGGTGTCCCGCGGTGTCCCGTGGTGTCCCGTGGTGTCCGCCGTTACCAGGGCGAAGTCAAGACAAATGATGATCCCCCGCCGGCCCGTCCGTCCGTCTGTCCTGCGGTGGCTCGCGGTGTCCCGCGGTGTCCCGTGGTGTCCCGTGGTGTCCCGTTGAGTGAGATCGATACTGAGATCGATACTGAGATCGATACTGGGATCGATGTGGTGACCCGAGGTGTCCCGTGGTGTCCCGTGGTGCTCAAAAAAGTGAGATCGACAGTGAGATCGATATTGAGATCGACAGCTGTCCCGTGGTGTCCCGTGGTGTCCCGTGGTGTCCAGTTGAGTGAGATCGATAGTGAGATCGATACTGAGATCGATGTGGTGCCCCGTGGTGTCCCAAAATGTGAGATCGATAATGAGATCGACAGGTGTCCCCTGGTGTCCCGTTGAGTGAGATCGGCATTGAGATCGATATTGAAAGATCGATAGTGAGATCGATGTGGTGTCCCGAGGTGTCCCGTGGTTTCCCTTGGTTTCCTATTGTGTCCCGTTAAGTGAGATCGATAGTGAGACCGCAAGTGAGACCGAAAGTGGGTTCGATGTGGTACCCGAGGTGTCCCGAGGTGGGCTCGATGTGGTACCCAAGGTGTCCCGAGGTGTCCCATGGTGTCCCGTTGAGTGAGATTGCAAGTGAGATCGATAGTGAGATCGATAGTGAGATCGATAGTGAGATCGATGTGGTGTCCCGAGGTGCCCCGTGATGTCCCGTGGTGTCCTATTGTGTTCCGCTGAGTGAGATCGATAGTGAGATCGATAGTGATACCGATCGTGAGATGGATGTGGTGTCCCGTGGTGTCCCGCGCTGTCCCGTGGTGGCCCGTGGTGTCCCGTAGTGTCCCGTTGAGTGAGATCGGTAGTGAGATTGATGGTGGGATCGACATGTGTCCCGAGGTGTCCCGTGGTGTCCCGCTGAGTGAGATCGATAGTGAGATCGATTGAGTAAGATGTTGGTTCCCCCTCCTCTCCGCCCCCCCCACACAGCCTCCTTATCACCCGAAGGGTGGTCGTATAGGTATATACGTCGCGCAACCCATCTCATGCCCTTTATGTGGTGCGATCTCTGTGGTGCAATGTATGGCAAGCAACCCAGGTGGTTCAACACATTTTGTGCAACACAGGTTGTGAAATATATGTTGTGCATCCCATGTGGTGCTGTATATGTGGTGACGTACATGTTGTGCAACCAATGTGAACCAACTTGCGTTGTTCAAAATAGGTTGTGCACTCTATAATGCGCCATGTATGTCGCCCTCTGTCATTTTGTTGTCTCTCTCTCTCTCTCTCTCTCTCTCTCTGTCTCTCTTTCTAATTTTTTTTTCGATGTATATATGTATACACGCGAATTCACATATACATATACACATAATTCTGTATATATCAGTGGCTCGGTCTACGAGGTACAGCTCAGATTCTGCCTGATTATACGTGCAGCAATCGTGTCGGTGCACTCTTGTGCAAGATATGGTGTGCAATCTGTGTTGCCCAATCTATGTGATGCGAAACCCGTGGTGCCGTCAATATGATACAACCGATGTGGGGCAGTCTACGCTTTTGTGCGATCTATGTGGTGCGCAATCTATGCGGTGCAATCGATGTTGTGCAATTCTCTTGTGGAACAGTTGTCAACTCCACC